AACTCAGCGTTTTCTAAAATACAGAACTTTTAATTGAAAATGTTTATTAATGTACACAGTGAAAATTGACTGCCAAATCAGAAAAGTCAATCTTCGTCACTACGTTTAGCTACAAAAACGAAATGCGTTACTATTCCAAGTCGTTACACTTGTCAAGACCCTTACACCCTTCAGATGACATTCTGCACTCTATCAATGAACATGGGTTCGCTGTAATGGATCCCCAAGTTGCACTGAGATTTATCCAAGAAAGAGGTCTGCGCTCATTCAGTAGTTTTGCGAAGTCGTTGAATGTTTTTTACAAAGGAAATTATAGCAATGAGCACCGAATCATAAGCCTTCGCTGCAGCACTCGTCGTCAATTAACACTACTTCTGAACATCATCTGATACCGAACATCACCTGTCCTTCATTTTTAAGAAAACAAGGGTGGTATTATGGTACTATTTACTATACCAGATTTCGTGTTCTGATGTGGACAGGTGCTTCATATTCCTCTTAGTCGATGCATCGAACTTTTTACCGTTCCTTCTGTCTATGTTCATATAAATGAAATGCGTTTTGCCCAATATAAGTAACGATTTCGGAGTGCGAAAATCCACTTTGTTTCAATGTCCATATAACTGTATTAATGTAGTCAGCTTTTGTTTTTATGCAGACAAAATCATCTATATGGAGAAAAAGCAAATAGTATTTGGATTTATAAACTATTCTAATGATAAAAATGTTAATAAAAATATTTGCTGTCACACGATTTTACAAGTAAAACGTAACTTGGTAATATCTACCAAAACCTTTACGGCAAGTTACCATCAGAGTTAGAAAAACGAGGTGACTCTAAATTTTTAATATACAGTAAAATGGTACAAGTTAAACTTCCACTATTTAGAAGTGTTCAATACAGTTCCTTTCAACATCAATGCAGTGTCGTAGGCAAATATTTTCAAAAGTTAAAGGCTTCAAGCTATCCATTTCTTGGAATCGATGAAAGATGTGCTTTTACAGCCTCATCAGTCTGATTTTCGTATGAAAACAATGGCCACTTGAATTTTGTTTTAGATTAAAAAAATATTAAATGATGTTATATACAGTAAGATATCAGAATAAGGAGGATTTTCTATCATTTTAATGTGCCTTTGTTCAAGAAATTTGACTATCAAGTTTGCTGAATGAGAAGATGCTTTATCATGGTGCAACATAAATCCCCTAATTTGGACATTTTAAAAGATTTCAGGAAGACACTTATTAGGAAAACAGTTAGTTATAGTTATCTTCTGTCGTTTGACATGATGGATTTGACTAATCCTGTACTTCTGAAGAAAAGGGCATGCATTACATGTTTCATTGCTTGTTGTCGTTTTACCATTGATAATCGAGATCAGGGATTCTCAACCGGTGGTCCTCGTACAACTGGTGGTAGGCAAGAGAAAAATGTGGTACGCAAAGAAGCAAAGTATTTTAACTATTAAATTCAAAAATTAAAACCCCAACATCCTGATTAATTTTTTTCTAAAACTTGTAAATTTATGCGATCTGAGCTTTGTACAAGAGTGGTGGTGGTAGTAGTAGTACTTTGTAGTGGTGGTACTAAAGGTTTTCAATTTTTGTTTAGATGATATGCGTTAGTCAAAAGGTTGAGAACCGCTGATTTAGATGATTTAGGTCCATACTTAACTTTCTTGTCTGGTTGGAACGCCACAAACGTTAGCAAAAACTGACGGTTAGTATAAAACTTTTCCAAATATAAGTATAGGAACCGAGAAACAGTATTAGAAGGTAAAATTCGTTATTTGTTGAAAATAAATTTTTTTATTAATTTGACTTTGCAAAAATATGAATATTTTCGCCACTTAAAACACCTATGTAATTGGCAGTAAATGATTATGACCAACGATTGCGAAAATAAAGGTCGATTAACGGGTAAGCATCACCAGTTCTCGTTTTAGGAATAATGTGATGATGACCATCATAAAGTAACTTTAGAATTTCTTTACTAATTTTTACATAATCCTTGTTTTGGCATTCTGTTAATTTAGGGAGACCAACGACAAAGTCATATTTTGGTATATAATTCACAAATAATCTATGTTTGGCAGAGGATTTAATCTTAAGTTCCATCTGTATCATTTGATAGGTTCAGGGATTATCATTCATTGACATTTTTCGTACGGTTCACACACATTCTGGGCCTGCAGATGACAAAGGTCTTCCTGTGTGTGCGTCCAAAAGGAGAGAAATTCGACCTCTACGAAATTTTGTAAGCCATATAAATACAATGGCACGACACAGAGCTTCATTTCCATATGTTATTTGATGATCTAACCGTACTTTAGAATCATAGAAAATCATAGTGTGATAATGCTGTGGTTTTGACACCATTTTATTTTCTTTAAAATGTTATTCTACGATAGATAAATTGCTGTTTTTGCCATAAATTATTGTCTGCGAACATAAAAGAGCTCAAATTTCCACATCTAACAAATAATTTTCTTTGAACGCATGCTGTTTGCCTCTGTCTAAAAAATGTTTGAGTTCCTTACGTAAGATTTCCCAAACAGCTAAATTATCAATTAATAAAATTTCATTAATTTCACAGTTCAGATTTCAAACTAAGGGCAAATAAAAATAGAAAGGTTGCAGTACTTGGGATACAAATGCACAATAGGCAACTGACTCTACGTACACAAAAATCAATACTTGGTCGACAGAAACAGACACCCGGAATTTTAGTCGAGCTAGTAAATCGCTTCTTTCATTCATTCATAGATGATATATCAAAGTACCACCAGTAGTAGCTTGTGAGATACCTCACTTTTAATGTAGTCTCCCGGATCACTTGGACAAGGAATCTGTACGCTTAGAGACAGAAATTTCTCAGGATTCCAAGAGAAACGTAGATTTCTGCAGTTAAAAATCCACGGTATTTAACCTCCTTGTGAACGAATGTTTCACAATCACGAAATCACAGCAATTAATCTCCTTATGTATATGTTAAATGTATATAAATGTCCAGTCTGAACGAATTATCGTGACGAAACCAAGGACAGATGAAACTTACTTTATTAAGGATTAGCTGCAGTTGCTCGTATAAAAAACAAACATCATAAAATAACAAAAACATTTTTAAGAAATACACATTACTTTTCAAAGTTTTAACTTCTTTTATGCAAAACCAACATGCTGTTGAAGCGTAGAAGATAAAATAAGAATCGTATCCTGCAAAGATTAATAACAACGTTTTGTCTTGCCAAGACAGGATTTTTTGCAAAAAAGATATTAAAACATGAAAGAGAAGAAAAAAAGTACGTATACAATACTTCAGGTTCCCAGCATGGCGGAGAACGAATCTGATATCTGAGAAGTGAGTGATTACATCCTGAACAAAATTGCTTTACATCATTTTCATTCTCTAGCCCATAATTTACCTAACATTATTCTTTTTTTAGGAAAACCTATATTTCTCTTAAAGATATAAAATGAAATATTTTTCAGATTTAGAAGTTAAAAAATTTAAAGTGTCCTTAGATGTGACGAATGGCACAATACATTTATAGGGCTATTTTATCGCAGAGCCTACGTACTAGTCACCACATTTATATACTTAAATACGAGGTAACAAGCTTATCATTCCCCACAAAAGTTTCGAAAATGCTGAAATGCAACCTTATGCGAGAAAGTTTTAGGAATCCAATTCGGAAAATTAATTCCCGAATTCAACAATTTACTTCTAAACCACAACAACAACAAAAACCACAATCCGTCGGAATTCCTGCTACTTTTAAATCAAGTAGTCGGAAAGCTGAAATTACGGAAAATGCTTAGTGCGAATGAAATTTTTTTGCTTTTCAAGTCACGGGTTGGAAATGGAAAACTAGCTTCGTAAGTCAATTTCAAAGTTTTTTTAAATTAAAGTGGTTGGCATTTTATGAAACTATGTTTTCATTCATTCGCTTTGTATCAAAAGTAAACATTTGACATGAAAGTGAAATTCTTTATTATTTACGGTCAACTTTGCCCCGAATGTGGACATTTCATTAAATAAGATACCATAATTATCATTTAATTAATCGAAAAACGCTTTCATTTTATCTGATCCTGCGTCTATATTTATACATCGGACACTGAAAAGGCTAAACGCTGCAGTTGCCTTCTCTATAAAAAATATGATTATTAATTTAAAGGTATATTCTTTGATTGGTAAACTTTTTTTGCTTCAGTTTTACTCCCTTGCACGAAGTAAAGGAAATTGTAATTGCGAAAAGTTTCGGTTGTCATATTTCAACACAAATATCGATATTGACTACTTCCGAATCCATTCGGACGACTTTTTTTTTTGCTTGACGAACAGGTCAATGCAGGACCGGACGGCTTTTTATGACAAATCGGGTATCGTCCGGTACCCGCAACTGTTTAGTTGAGTACTGGTTTTATGTTCCACAGCGTACACTACAACTGACCATATATATAAGTATACTTAATACATACCATATCATATAATGCATATCATAGCACTTACATTATCACTTACATATATCCTGTACGTACAAACAGAATAAAGTACCGTTTTTTACAAAACGCTATAATAATGGGACTGCTATAGCATCTAGTTTACTTAAAGTTTTATACTCCTTATGAAAAAATAAAATTGCAAGAAGCTTGACTCCTGCACTAAAAAAAATTACCGGGATATTTAATTTCAAAATTTGCTATTTTTGATGTCAATTTCGACTTGCCTTCAGGGATTGTTTAATTAAGACAGGATAATTAAAGGAGATAATTTTAAATGAAGTACAGCCAAAAATGTGAATAAGTAAATAGTTGATGAATGTATACAAGTGGTGTCCACTTCAAATTTTGTAATAGTAAACTATGATAAAACTATTTAAGTGTTTTCATTACTTTATTCGTAAAACTTTGGATTCATTAATATCTAGAAAATATCTCTGCATTTAATTGCTGAGGTAACTAGAAAAACTGTGTAACAATCAGGCGGTTCTTACTTCCTGTGAGAGTGGAAAGAAGCAAATGTAAATGGCTTCCCCTCGTACTCTCCGAAGAATCGACTATCACCCAGGCGGATATGGTATATTTCATTTCCGGAGCATTTCCCGTATTGTCTGTGCCACTCTTCACCTGACATCTGACCTTCCCTGAAATAGAAAATCAGTTAGTTTTTGGTACGTATGCCGAAAATATTCCAGAAAAGAACACATCCAGTGGAACGTGTTTTGGTATAGCTAATATGAAAATAACAGAAAGATTTTATTAACATTGGCTTAAAAGATGTTTTCATTATTAACAATTACTTTTTATTAACTAATAAAAATACAATTTATGGTTTGTTAATTATTATTGTAATCATTAAGACTGGATTGTAAACAATGTATTCATTTTTAGGAATTATTTTCCTAACGCTAGTGAAAAATAAGAATGAGTGATAGATAATTTGAACTCAATTAAAATTTCTCAAAATTTAGAGTTTGAACCTTTACCTGCCTGCACAGAACTGCTGTAGAAAAGTTTAATTTTTCGGATATCATTAATTACGTTATGACAAACTACGAGAGAGTATCTGTGTAAAGGAAGTGATGATTTTATGGAGGATGTTTTATGGGACACTTTCTTACATGGGAAAGTGCTTGTTGATATTTTCAAATAGTTCTGAAGACAGTTATCAATCAATAGGTTTCACTGCGATAATTTCATTGTTTTCACAATGAAGAAATTTCATTCATATGTACATGCTTTCCAATTATAGATGCAATTGTTTGGCTAAAAGCCTTCAGTTCATCATATTTTGATTATATATCAGTTTTAAAATTCAGTGCACAACACATGCTTGATTTTAAATGATATATTTAAGATTGCATATGGCATTGTATAGTGTTCTAAAACTGATTAGTATGCATATAATTTGGAAATCAACTTTTACCATCATCATCAACATCAGTAATTAAAAAAAAATCGTCAGCCGTGGGAGTAGCCAACGAAAAATTCCGAGACTTGTTAGCGACATCAGGCGGTAATAGTTTTATTATATAAAGCTCATTGTTAAAATGATCTTAGATAAAAGTATAGTTTAGGGTACCCTCTTGGCGAAACTTGCCGATTTTGGGCGGTACATGGATACCGATTTTGTGCAATTCTTTGACTCATTTTGGCTTGCGAAGCGGCGATTTTCGAGCCAAAAATTGCCGCTACACAAAGCCAAAATAACAAGACAAACAATTGCACAAACTCAGTATCCATGTACACATCGACTTATTTTCACTTAAAAAAATTCCCGAATTGCACAAAAATGGCATTGCGCATTCCTTTGACTTTATCAATGTACACGTCTACCTATTTTCAATTCAAAAAAAATCCCAGAATTGCACAAACTTGCACTGCGCACTCCTTTTCCATGTACACATCGATATATTTTCACTTAAAAGGTTAAAGGAGCACCAAATCCTACAATATAGGCAAACAAAAAATACATAATCTCAATAAAATATTTTTTAAACCAAACAATAAAATAACATAAAAAAGGAAAAACATGTTATACATTTAAGCACTACCAAAACCAAATATTCACTTACCATGATATTCGAATTCACTTCGTACACCCAGAGCCACATAAAAATCAAAATATCAATCATACTCAAATGACATTTTTCAAACCAGGTACTCTTTCTGATCGAACGCTTCACATAGTGACCATCTGAACCTTTCTTCCTACAAACCCATTCAAATCCATCTAAACGGTTTTTACGTTCGACTAGACGGATATTCTTCCTACATACAGGACACGTATAATGGCTACTAAGTAAACCTTCATTTACACACCAGTCAATTAAAGCTCTTTTCCCCTTTCGCTCCAAATCGTACAGAAACTTCAAATTAATCTTACTACATTCGGCCATTCTACCGTCTAAAGAATCAAACCAACACACCACAAAAACGCTTACAAAACATCCCATGATTCAAAATTTCCCAGGATCATGCACCCGATTACGTCATAATAGAGTTTCCATACCATTCAACTACTCAGGCTACCATAAATGAAACAACAACTTGGCGAAAAAATCAAACAACAACTTGGCGATAAATCAAACAACAACTTTGCCATAATACAAGGGGTACCTTAAAGTCTACTCACCCTGATCTTATTGAATAGTTTATGCCGATTTTAGTTAACACTAAAGTTTTCCTAAAAGTGGTTTTATAGAACCGAGTAAGGATGCAATTAGTCTATAGAAGTCTGAAATATCAGCGCCAGAAGAAGAATGGTGTTAGCTAGACAAGTAATTCATATGTATTATCAATGGCATAGATAGATCCTTGAACTAATGAATAAATCAAGAAATGATGCACTGTAACATATGAATGTGAAAAATCTTTGTTCTTATGATACTTACATTTGTCATGCATATAATAGGGAGGATCATCAGCAAAGGAATGGTTCCTTCATGGGTGGGTTTACTGCAGTAGTCATAGAAGCAATAAGCTTGAATTTGCCTTGGAACTTAGGTTCACTGCGGAAATGGTATCCCAGCAGGAAACCAAGCTCTACAGGAGCTGAGCAACGACATGTAAAACCATTTAAGTGCCTTTGAACTTCTAAACGACAATTTCGGTCAAAATGGAACTTTGGAGTTTTTGATTATTTCGAATTCTAGTGAAATTTCCTTTTATCTTATTTGAAACCTAAACTACGACTGCTGATATGACTTGATCAACTCATTTTTGAAAGCAGAAACAATGTTTTGCAAATCTAATCTTCACCAAAACGCTATTTAACACATTATTTCTTTTAAATGTTTTGTTTTACCAAGTTTTTTAACCAGATAATATAAAAATCTATATATAAAAATTTTACTTTTAAAGGATTTAAATTATATCAGACTAATCTCTTTTTTTCCCTTCTGATTCGACTAATATTTAGGAATTAAACTCTCCCTAAACTTTGCTTCTAGACTTACTTTTTCAAGAATTAGAAAGAGCAATGATATTAATAATTATATATTATGATTGCGTTTGTCCAGACGAAATTTAAAACATTTAAGAAAATAAACTAACATTTGAAATTGATGTTGAAATGTTTTCTAAAAAAACGTTAAATACGTACGATTTGAGAATGCGGAAACATGTACGGCCTGATCAAAAAATGTAAAATGGGGCTAGGTCTTTAGAATTCATTGCTAATAATATAAAAATTTGTGGTAGCGGTATGTTTGAATTAGATATTCTTAATAATTTCTTTTCCTATCCTTACTGCATAGGTAACTCTTAATTATATTTCTAATAATGCCAAAGCATACAGCAAGCATTATTTGTTTGCAATTAAAACTAATACGTTAAAAATATTGTACTGCTATTATACAAATTAATGATGGATTTAAAGGTTGCTCATTGTATTTAAGGTGAAAATGAAACCTGTATTTTTACAGAAAAGCACAGAAGCATTTAGACAATAACTGATATTAGGATTCTGACGCTTATATATATATAAAAAAACATTGTAAGTTTTAAAAGCTTTGAAGCAGAAAAATAATTTATTTAATATACCAAACAAGGTTAATAATTTAAAAAAATAGAGTATTTTAAATGTTTCAATTAAGTATTTACATTAAAAGTAAAAGCTTCGATAGAAGTTATCTTTCCTTTGATAAAACGGAGTGTTTTTGAAATTTTTCTCAAGTCTTAAAAATTCGTTAAAACTCATTGAAAATATGCAGATTTTTTTTATTAAAATAAAGAGAGGAGTCCAACATTTTCTGACCATGATCCCTACCGATAGATTTCTATCTGACAAGCATAATGCAAGAGGGAAAAAAGCGTCCAAGAATCATGGGTTTGATCTGCAAGCTTAAAACATTTGTAAGATTCTGTACCAGTCATAATTTTCGACCAAAATATTTGAATATATTGCTGCTCCAAAAAGTCCTCTCTTTTCCATGGCAAGTCATTACGATGCACTTACAAACGTTACGTTAGTCATTACGTTGCACGTTACGTACAGACTGAACATTTCTAGTAATTTCGGGAATGAAGACTCTTTGGAGAGTTTCCTTTCCTTAAAAATCTCAACCTCCGTCAATGAACTTATTCTCAGGAAAGGACAAGCATTCATTCACAAGTTAGAATGATTTTTAAAGCTTATTTTTTATTAAAATAAAAAATTCGAGATCAAACGAATTTTCTCCTGAAACTGGGATTCAGTTACACAAAATAAGTGTCGGAACTCTTTTATTAGGGGCTGCGGTGCGCTCTGTCAAGAATTACGATTCCTTTCAAAACTCAGAAGTTCCCAAACCGGACTCCAGAGCAAATTATACTCTAGTTATAATTAATGACAAGACAAATTCAAGATCACAGTAAGTACACAGAGTAATTACTTTCAAAAATTAAAAAAAAAATCATACTTACTGTCCTCTGGAAGTGTGAAGCAGAAGCGTAACAAGAGTTGAAGTCCCTGGACAAAGGCAGTTGTTGGCTAGCAGTGCGTATTTAAACTCGTCTTCGCAAACAACGTGTTCTAATGAGAAAGGAAAGTAAAAAAGAGAGAATGAATACTTTTGTAAATTAATGTTTTATATTGGATAATTTCATTAAAGTTTAGAATGTATCTGCGAAACATTCCGGACGTTTTTAAAGAATAGTTTAATGTATCTGTGTACATTTTCAATAACATGTTCATTGATGGCAGTATTAAAGACTGGAATATCATACGGTACGTGTATCTTCCGTATTCTAAGCCTTAGACATATCTACTCATAGGTTATAAGGTGTTTCTCCCACTTCCCTAGCGTGCCTTCGTGGTGTAACGGTAGCACGCTGGGCCGGTATTCCAGAGGTCGTGGTTCGATTCCCGACGAAGGCGGTTGCATATTTTCCATCTCTCTTGCTTCCAAAAATCCTAAGGACTCTACAAGTGGCGCCCGAACTAAAAAAGGGTTGTGGATGATGATTCTCCGCACCCAGGATTTGGCGACTAAATCCCCTAAAAACCCTAGTCGCCATTTAAAAAGGGGAGTATATAAGGTATTTCTCCCACTTCCCTAGCGTGCCTTCGTGGTGTAACGGCAGCACGCTGGGCCAGTATTCCAGACGTCCGTGGTTCAATTCCCGCCGAAGGCGGTTGCATATTTTCCATCTTTCTTGCTTCCAAAAATCCTAATGACTCTACAAAGTAAGTGAATCTGCCAAAGCTCGGATGGGAATAATGGATGAGTTCTTAATATTTGTAATTATCGCGTCTTCGTCCACTTATACCACGTATTTTGAGTACTTGAACCCATTTTAAGAAAGAGTGGATATTCAAATTATAATAATTATTGTATCAATATGAAACCATTGCATAAAAGGTTTAAATATTTTATGTTTTAAATCATCAGAACTAATTTAAAATCTACGGTAAAAACTGTATAATGCATATAAACTATTCTACAGAGATAAAAGTAAAGTCTAAATATCGGGAACGAATGGTACATCTATATATCTTCACAGAATAAATTTTAGACAAAATACAGAAGGCATTTATCATAGGTATTAAAACTTTAAAGGATTACATGTGAAATTCAGATGCGTAAGGATGAAGATTGATTCCTATAGTATCCATTTAACTGCATGGCATTCAGGTTTTATGTTGTTTCGAAACTGAAATAATGCCTCTCATTCTTACGGCTCAAGGCTTCTTATTTGCATTGATATTCATATGCTTTCAGTATCGCCGTTTAGATGAAAACATTATTGAATCAGAGCGAGATGTTTTTGTATTCTAGTTTATTCATTTTCAAAAGAATGCAAAATATCTCATCTCTGCCGTCTTCTACATGAATTCAAATTCAATTACTTCCGCTTTCGAAAGTTTGAACTAAAAATTTTCTTTATGGTTTGAAAAAGTATATTATTAGTGTCTATAATAATAAACTTGAGTTAAAATAAAACGGAGTGAAGAAGGAAAAGAAATCTCTATAGAAGCATTTAATCATATTAGAGGTAGGAAGAATTATAAATGTTTTCGGATATGAATCCCAGGGAGTTCTCAAATCTCTCGAATTTTTTGAATACCATAAATATTTCAAATAAAAAATGTGATGAAAAGGAGAACGAAAGTTTACTTGATGTTATTAACAGTTTGTAATTAAAACAAACCCTAAGGTGCAATTTGCTTTTAAAGAAAAATTAATTAAAGGTATGATTACTTGATTAAATCACTTACATTTGAAGTTCATTTTATGAACATATATTTTTATCTAAAAAATATTTTAATAAAATATCAGAATTCAGTTGAAAGTTATAAATTCAGCTGCTTGGTTGAGTGGCTGAGCTGGTAGAGAATAAGAGTTACGTGCGTGATCCAATATTTATATATCATGAAATGAGTTACTAGAAGCATCCATTATATGCTAGTACTAGGTTATCTAAGTCCAATCTATTGAAAGGATCTTAGGAATAAGTTCTGAGAATTTAACAAAAAAAGCGCAGTGCTCTGATTACTTGGAAGGAACAGCAGATTTATCTTAAAGATGGCATATTGAAACAATGTACCTTTGAGGGCCACGATGAGAAGATATCGATAATACAAATTTCAATGTGTGGTAATATGTTTTAGTTTCAGCAACATGTTTCTATTTCATTTACATCCTTCCTTTTGCTTCATTTCGTCATGAGGTTCTCTCATTTTAGAATCTATTTAGATTTGAGTGAGAAGACGTTCTACTTTAAAGTTAGAAGAATGTTAATACACATTCTTCTAACTTTAAAACAGAACGTCAAGACAAGAATGTTAATAGAACGACAAGAATGTTAATAGAATGTTAGAAGAATGTTAAATGTTACCGTAAAGTTAGAAGACTGGACGTCAGAGATGTACGAAACTGTTTCTATCGCAGGAACTTCAGACATTCAAATTTAAATTAGTCTGTGGAAGGTCCAGAAATACATGACGCCCAAACACAGTCGAATCTTACTTAATTTGACAGCAAATAAGAACTGCTGAGTAAAATTGAAGTATGCAAATTAGTGGGGCTGCATTTGAAATACGTCATCTGCGAGGAGCATAAAATTTCATGTTTCAGAGCAGGGCTGCAAATTTTGCCGTGATATTGAGATTAAAAAATCTGGGATAGCCACTTTGCAACGATGACCTTCAAGCGCGATTTGCTCGAAGAACTGCAATAGAGAGTTATTGGACCACTAGAGGCAGCACAAAGTCAGACGGCTAAATATGAATCCTTCTGTGGTTCATAGACTTTGTCAACAGTTTCTAGTCAAAGATTCGACACCCAGGAGGTTCAGCCAAGGCTGACCAACCCCTACGACGAGAGCTAATGAGCGATATTTGTTGTTATGCGCACGAAGGAATAGAACTTAATCTTCGACTCAACTCAGATCCTCCTTTGATACAGGAACTGGCAGGTTGGTGTTAACTTCAACCATGTGTAGAAGGTTTCACAAAGGAGATTCGCACGTGAGGCGACCAGTGTATTTTTAGTTAGAACTATTACATAGAACTCGAATGTTTAGGAGTGGCAAAATTTAAGTTAATCCGTTATGTAAACTTGTGACCTATAAATAATGTTCGTTAAAGGTGGTTGCATGTTATAATTCCTTAAATATTTATTTGAGACATTACATATCAACTATAAAATTCTAAAATTAAAGAGAGAATTTTTTGAAATAGTAATAGCTTTAACAATGTATAAAACATAACTATTCAAATGGTGAATGTAGGGCATAAAGTCCAATTAAAAAAGCTCCTATTATTCTTTGATTACAAAGTTAAAATAAAATTTTCATGTAAAGGCTGTCTAGCTAATATTAAAAAAAACTGCTTTTTCAGAGGCTGGCCGAAAATTTAATACAGAATGTTATTCAACGTTTTCCTAGTTTAATATCTATGTGAGTGTTTCCAATAAAAGTCTGAAAAATTTGCTTTCATTTTAAAAGCATAAGAAGTAATTTATTGAATGAAATATTTTCTCTTATGTGATCCTACAGATAGATATTAGATATTGTATTAATGCTTAAAGAATCAACTAACATTTTAGGAGTTAATTTTAAATGAAGTTTTATAAACACCTAACAACAACATACAGGAAAACGATAAACTGAAAATGGAATTACACTAAAAAAGTTCTTAAAAGATCAGAGCGTGAGTTCAAACAATCACATCTCACTTCTGCAGTTCGCGTGTTTTAAATAGAGTATTTTGTCTATATCGTCGGTAGAGCGCGTTGCCGACGATATTCATTTGTTCAGTCTTCCACCCCTGGCTACGAAGACATCTCGGTAAGTAGCCAGAGGAAGAATTGCCTTGTTGGTTCTTTTACGCAGCATTCTTAGAAATGTTCTCTCTTTGTCTCCATTTCCAAGTGTAATACTTCTTCGTGAGATTACTCAATGGTCTTGAGATCTCTGCAAAATTAGGAATGTAGCGTCGATACCAGCTGCAAGTCTGAGGGACACTTTTTAGTTGCTTCACCTCCTTTAGTGAAGGAATTTGTTGAATGACATTTACTTTGGCAGGGTCTACTTCAATTGCAGGACTTGTGATATATTGTCCGAGGTATTTCACTTTAGAACAAGAAAAATTACATATCTTTCGATTGGTACGAAGCTTGAATTTTAAGAATCGATACAACACTAAACGCAAGTCTTCGAGATGCTTCTCAAAAAGAGAAGACATCACAATAATACCGTCGCGATAAGTAAGAGTGTTGACCTTTAATCCATTCCGGAAAATATCCATTAACCTTTGGAAAGTGGCTGGTGCTGTCTTCAATCCAAAAGGCATCCTTGTGAATTTATGGATTCCAAATTGACATATAAAAGCAGTTTTGCCTTTGTCCAGAGGGTACATCTTAACTTGGTGATACCCTGATTTTAAGTCTATGATAGACATATATCTAGTTTGCTTTGTATTATGAAGAGGTTCATCCATACGAGGCAGCGGGTATGGATCAGACTTAGGCACAGAATTCAGTTTCCAGTAGTCAACACATAATCACACATAAAGTCACCGTTCGGCTTGGGAACTAAAACAACGGGGGCTGCATATGGTGAATCACACTCTTTGATTATGCCTGATGTAAGAAGTGCAATCTCTTTCTTCAAAATCTCCTTTCTTGCTGGAAATAGTCTGTAAGGGTTTGTAGCCATTGGAGGTGAGTCACCTGTATCAATTCGGTGCTCGATGTAAGGAGTTGATTCTCCTCCCCCCCGGAGTTCTGTATTTTTATAATAAGGCATTAAATCGTTTTCGCTGCTTTTCTGTTAGATTTTCACCTGCGTCTGGATATAGTAGGCAAGGATTTGTTAACATGTCACAGGACTGGACTGGATCTCTTTTAGCAAATGGAAAGTATTTATTTGGATTGTCACCAAAAAAGCACACTCACGAATATTTAGAACAACTCCAGCTTCCTTTAGGAAGTTTTCTCCAAGCAGTACTCGATTACCTGTAGCATTAGGAAGAGCTATCAGTGTCAAAGGGAAGGTCCATCCTTCAAGGCCAAGTTTCACGCAAGTTGT